AAGTTGCCGCTTCAATACTATAGATAAACTATAGATACAAATTGCTTTAAAAAAAGATGCTATACTTGAAAATTGGAGGTGAATAACCGTTAATAAGACGGAAAAAAAAACATCTTAGTAAAACCAACAATACAAATTAAACATTTTTATTTTTAATTTTAAAAAAATATAAAATAGAGGAATTTTAGTGCTAAGTTTTACTTATTATCATAAAAGTTATTGCATTTTTAAAAGCTCTGTGGACACCTGTTTATTATAATAAGTCTTGATTGTAGATTTCTGCGGAAATACCTACCTACTATAGTAGGAGACTATATTATAAGGAGACTGAATTTAATTTTAGCGTCCCGCTAAACATTTTTGGAGTCATTTGCATCCCAGAATCAGTATTTAATTAACGCGAAATATGTAGGCGTGTGTAGTTCTTGCAGAGTTTTATTAAAACAGGTATAATACGAAAGTAACAGTTTTATTTGATTTTCTCAACCGAACCCGATTGTAATTCGTGTAATCAAGACCTAAAGGTTAGGTCTAAACCAAAAACTAATTAACTAAATACTCAAACGTAAAAAACAAACCTATTGTCACACTACAAGTTCTACTGTAAAGGCTTTATATTTAGTGTATAGCATTGTCAAAAATAATAAACACACTATTGGTGTAAATATTATTCTGCCCACTTCAATAGATATGTGTATACAGAAATATTAGGAAAACAAGCGACAAATAAACTAAAATTTATACCAACTTCAAATAATACTGTTCAGAGACGCAGTGCCGAGACTAGCAAAAACAGAAAACAACAATAATTATTGAATAGGTTAAACTCAAAACCCTTCGTTATTTTTTCTAATCAGTCGGACGAAAGTACAGACGTTCAAAATAAAGCTATACATTGTCTGTATTTATAAGATATTATTTTGACGGGAGTACGGCACAACAAGTAGTCTGCACAACAACTGGTGTAGACATTTATAACTCATTAGAAGATTTTTGTTTTGAAAACGATATTCAGTGGACAAACTGTATAGGTGTAACTACTGATGGCGCGGCATCGATGACGGGTAAACATGTTGGTGTGGTATGACGTATTAAAGAAGTTGCTCTAGATGCTAAATGGACGCATTTTATGTTTCACAGAGAGGCACTTGTGTCAAAAAAATAAAAAAAAAATGTCTACTGAAATAAATGACGTTTAAGTATTTACTTTTATTATTAATATTATTAATTATTATGTATTAAGCTATTATGGCATACTTGATTTTATTTTTTTTTTTGTTTTTAATGGGGGGTCGCGTACCCAAAAAAGAGTAAATGTGTAGAACGTCGTATCAAAAAGCTTGGGAACTACTGACCTAACCTAACCCATTTATACCCACGTATAAGCAATGAATAAAAACTGCAGGATATATTGCGATCATAAATCATTATTTGTGTTTTTTTTTCGGGTAGTGGAAAAATAAGTGGGTAAATAATTTGGAAATAATAATAAGTAGTGTGATAAAAAAATGAATTTGATAAATATTAAGGGAAAGGGAAGTTTTTCTTCTTTGGACAAATGTCACGCACAATCAGATGAGCGTAACAGTCTTTTACCCGCGACTATTACATTATCGCGCAATTATTAGAAAACAATACAATAGGTTGTTAAACGATCAATTTTATTTAATTAAATTTGTATTAGTTTTTGAAATGATTCGTATAAAATATATTTGTTACGGGCAATGTGGAATCTCGGGTATTGTGTACATTGTCCGGGCACTTAACATGCTTCAACGAATCTTGACAGATAGTTCAATCATGTTTGTTTTTATATTATTACGGGGCCATATTACAGCCGTCCCTACGTGCGATCTGTTTTTTGCTTAGAACAAGTCGCACAGTTAAAACTCTAGTGCTACATAGAGGACACTTTTCCTACGGGATAGATCACTTGGACTTTGATTCTTTTGTGTATAACTAAAAACCAAAAGATAAAATAAGTCATAATATTTAAACATTGGTTATAGAATTTAGAAATATATATGTTTTTAGTATCCAAATAAAATTCGTCCTGTTACGAGATTTCTTTTTTTCGAAAAAAAAAAAAAAAATCATAATAATAAAAAAATATCAAACCACTGTAAGAAAGACGACAGTTTTTTCTATGAAATATGTTTTTAAGCAAAAGGCATTTTAAAGAATAAATTAAATTAATAAGCCGCCGAAATGGTACAAATGAACTGATAAGTAAATTTAGCTTAAATTAATCGAAAATTCAATCTAGTTTAATATACATGACAGAAAATAATATTTACATTTTTCTTTCGTACATTGTTTTCGAACGAAACGTTAATATTGTAGGCATGGTTGAACCGTAGAAAATGTAAATGTAATTTTTTTTTTGACGTTCTTTTATTCGTTATATTTATTCGAGCGTTTTGTTTTTAATTTTGATTCCAGAACACTGACATTTTAATTCTTAGGATATATACAGAGTGTCCCACGGAGATACACCTATTGTAATATCTTCAGAGATAAAAAAGACACTCAAATTTTTTTTTTATATTACTCACAGAGATAAGGACTATAAATATTTATACTTAAATTAATTCAAGTTTTGTCAAAAATATAAAAATAACTATATTTTAATTAAATTCGTAATTTTTAATAATTTTATAAAGCTCAGATAAAAAAAGACGACCACGAATACTGCACACGATGGGTGGGCCACTCTTACAGGTAAGAAGTTGAAAAAGTAGGATATCGAGAGAAATTCAATATTTATCTATACGTAACGATTAATCATTGCTTTTTAAAATCGATTCTGAGTGGAGTTGGGTTATACACGTTTCCAAAGGCTGTAATTTTCATCACCAATTGATATTAATACTCTTATAGTGTAAAAATTCTACATAGCATTCAATTTTTTTTTTGATACTTTATACAATTTATAATTAACCTTATGCACAATTTTCAAGCATTTCTGTTTGGTTGAACCATTATATCCATATAGTACCTACCAAATGAAAGCTACGTAAAAAACGTATGGAAATATCCAAAACACAGTTTTGAATAAAAACAAAAGAGGTAGTGTTCATTAGAGTTCTGCACGGATCTATGGTTTTGAGCCCAGTCTGTCTAACATTTCTGATTGAAAAAACCTGGCTCATTGAGGCCTTAAACACCGTTTTAATTTTTAAAATCTAAGCCATCCCAAATTTAAAATTATAAAACGAAACCAATTTGGCCACGCTCGCTTGTGAAATTTCTGCATATGCAGCTATATCTATGGCTTTAGTGTTCATTCGTTATGTGAACAATAATAATAATAATAATATATATACAAAAATAAAATGTTCTACTAGGACTGCTATTATATTATCAAGACGTAAGATATTGTCGTATAGGATACGAACAAATCGTAAGTTATTAAACATCGTTAGTTATATTTTATTGTTGTATTTATGTATGTATGTATGTATGTATGTATATATTTATGTATGGTATGTGTGTGTGTGCTTTTAATAAAAATAATAACTCTCTCCCTGAAAAGGAATGTAGTTTAGCATATTATTTTATTGTATGTAGCATTTCGATAAAACAAAATATAAAATCATGTCTTAAACACAATTCCCGGAGTATTATATTGCAATAACCACGTAAAAAATGTATCGCATTTCTCGTTTGGAATCGAAACGTTTATTATTTGATGAATTGTTATGAATATAATATTATATAAGTGTATGTACTCAGCACCGATATTTTATTCTCGTTTTTATTTCACTTTTGTGACAGACACGTGGCATTATTTTTATTACTTAAATATATCTTTTGTACGTATTCAAATTACATTATAGTTAATTATAATAATTGACTAACTGAAACGGAGTTTCCTTAGAGATGATGCTATTAAACGACTGAAAACCTGTCAAAACAACCGAATCAGATAATATATTTGAGGTTTCGGGACCGAATGTTAAAACAATTGGTATTCAATTAAAACTCTTAACCTTTCGTGTGTTACGAGTGCTGTTGATGACAAAGGTCAATTTTTGTTTTCATTTGTTGAAAATTGATGGAATAATTTACCGAGGAATTTGATTCAAACGTCGAGAACTTTTGGGCTTACAGAATTTACCGCATAAAATGATGGTTGATGTTTTTTCGTTATGATGACACTTTTCCTAGTTAATTTTCAATTGTAATTCTTGACACTTGTCACAATAACAAAGAATGCTGTCACTTGTAAAACTATTTTTGTTAGAATAGTCTTTTTATACAACTTAACTTTTGGTCTATTCATGAAGTACAATTTATTTGGCTCTATAATTTTATTATGTATGCTTCAAAGTATCTTTTTCTTTTTTTCCTTCGTCTTCATACCCTGAGATGATGATTCAAAGGATATAAAATCAGAGGCGTTCTGAGGCTTCCGTATAAGGGTGGGGAGGACATCAGTTTGAATAATTGCTGACTACATGAAAATGACGAGAAAAAAAAATATAGTTGTAGTTTTATATGTTTATACGTAAGTTTTTTTTTTTAAACATTTATTATTATATATATATATATATATAATCTGTTATGATATTTACAATGGGCATATGAGCTTTCAGATATATTAAAAATGACATGAAGGAATGAGGAGAGAATTTACCAAGCAGTAACACTCATACGCGGTAGAGATTTGTTAGATTATAATACTTGTATAAGATTTTTTTCTTTTTTTTTTATGTTTGATGAGACAAATAATGACACCAGCACCTTGGCACCTTTCTTGGCGAATTTCTGAGAATGTTGGGTAAATTAAGAGAAAGAAAAAGAGGGTTTGGGTGGTTTGCGAGGCGACAGCGAATACGTAAGAGTAAAATGCTAATACAAAACAAATGTACATACTCAAATATTTTATTAACATTTTATTCTTATGATCATTTGTATTTATATGGAAACCAAAAATATGACATATAATATGTATAATATTATATTAACAATTTTTAATTAGATACTAGTTTATATTTTTACTCGCCGATGTTTGAGGAGAGACCATTCTTTAACAATTTCCTGAACATTTCGAAATTAGCGAGGAATGTGGTAACTTGTCCAGCACAATTCATCCAGGAAAATGATTCATCTCCATCATTTATATGTTCACTAGTTTCAATTTCCGCAGATTTGTCTATATCAACCTTTTCATACATTTTCACATATAATATTTTGTCAATCACTTTATTAACAGTAATGGGAGATGAATCAGTAATAGAACACAATTCAGTAATGGAAGACGATTCAGTACCGTGCGACGATTTAGTAATAAACAATTGATCGCAGATCGATGATTGTTGATTCGTCAACATTTTCAAAAGACATATTAGTCGTGAAAGACAGAGATGGAGATTGTGTAACTAATATGGTAGAAACACTTTGTGAAGGAACTGCCGGAACAGAAATTGTAGCTTTTCTCTTAAAGGCTTCAAATGGATTTAATGATGCTCCCACATGTTTAATTTTTACCTTTTTACCATCATGTACCACTTTTTCACGATGAGTTTTTAAGTCACTACCACATTCTTCACATTCAAATTTAATACGTTTTCTCTTATTCATTATTAAACTCTAACTGTTCAAAATTCAATAAATGTTAAAATTACTCACGAGTTAAAAATTATATAGAGTAAATAAAATATACAAATGTGCTGTTTTAACAAACAAAAATAAAAGCAGCAATATAACAGTGCCAGTGGCCTATAAGAAAATATTCAAGAGAGATTAAATAGTCAAACTATTAATATCTACTAAAACAAAAACATTAAAAAAGAAATAAAAATATTAATACGGTTTGTGGAGTGACGTGATGACGGATGACACTGGACAGGGACGCGGTTTTAAATCGTGGCAAAATAGTACACATATATTTAGATATGATCATTGATTACACATGAAAACATTAAAATTAAACAGGCGTAATTCATTGTATTCGCTCGTGACTGAACGCGCGTCTTTATTTCATACAGGCTCCTATGTAATGTATAAAATGATTAGGGTCCAGATTTATATGCATTTGTATGTTTTTTTTTAGACAGTCTAAAAAGTAGTTAAATAAGCTTCAAGTTTGAATTAAGGTCAACAGAATTGAAATACAACATTTTATTTTGCATATTTTACTATTTTTTAACATGTAATGCATATTTCTTCATGACTGTATTTCACAATTTTTCATCGCATACAAATGGTTTTTAAATGTATATTATGTAATATTTTGATTATGTTTAAATTAATTTAAAAATAATGATAGAAATAATTAAAAATATAATATATATATATTTGAACCGGCCATCGGCAAGGCTGGCGGCATGCGGAATTATTTATAAACTTTAATGAAACCCGTTAAACCAATCAAAATATCGAACGCTATAGTATATTGTATACCTTGAGATTGCTTTGAGATTCAGTTAAAAAATGTCTAAGTATATTATATTTTATTATTATTAATAATGTGCTATATAAAATTGGCAGTTAGTTACAGATTTCTAGGAATAAACGTAGTTTCAAAGTTACCTTTGATAACTAATTGCTAATGTAAATTATATAAAAGGTAAAGAAATTACTATATCCTGCATACTTTGTTGCCTTAAAAGTTGAAATATTAAACACGTATAATAGTAAATAATAATTATTCCAAATACTTACATTCTTACATCAAACTAGAAAAGTACTAAATTATGTTATCGCGGCAATCACCAACGTAAAAATGTACAATATTAAATTAATAATTATGATAAAAGAAGCGCGCTGGATCATAACACAAATCTAAAAAACACACACACTCTTCCACTTTCAGTTGCGTGTCTACGACGTTCGGGCGTTGTGCCGTTGTCGCGATAACGCAGGTATTTCCAGAATATTTCATCATCTAATCCAGAGGTTCTCAAAACTTTTAATTTCGCATACCACGATATCTGTCATGTTTCGCGTACAACAAAAAATTGAACAATTCATAATGGTTTTATATTTATTTCAAAACGATAAGAGTATAAGACAACAAAATACTGCAACGTAATATCAATATATAAAAAAAAAAAAGAGCTGATACTGGGGACGGGTACAGCTACTGTCGTAGGTAAGAAGTTGGAAAGGTAGGATATAAAAGGTTATTTTATTTATATCTGTAAGCAACGATAATCCGTTGCTTGACAAACGACGATTCTGAGCGCAGTTCGGTTATACGTAATTTTTGCGATTTTCTTTTAAATTTGATTTCAAAACGCTTATAAAAAAAAAAATCCGATGATTATGGAAATTTAACTACGTCTAGGTAAGTCCAATATAGGTATTGTTACCAAGTTTCAAGTCTCTACGTATATTTATAACCGATTTACACAAAAAACTCCCAAAAATTAAAATTACTTAAAAGCTCAAAAAAGGCTCAAAAGTTTTAGCAATGATACCCTTAGAAAGTAAATCAAAAAGATAATAATATATTATTATCTATGAGCTCTACTTTACAAGTCTATGGTCTTCATAGTTTATAATAATAATACTATAAACACTACCTTCAACTCCAACATCAGTGACGACAATTTTTATAAATAAGATAACCTTGACATTTATTTCAAGTTTTTACCAAATGTACGATTTGCCGACTGATAGAAACATCTTGGGGAGGTAGGCACCCCCTCCCCCTACCCTTCCGTTCGGATTGCTCCTGTATAAAATAAAATATTGTATCCGGATAGCTACTGTAGATCTTCGCAGTCTTTACTTTTGTCATATTATTTTAATAAGAAACAGGAAATTGACCATGTCTAATTTCAAAAATGAAAAAATTCACTAGTAATGTTGTTTACAACTAATTTTTTAGATTCTGAGTGAAGTGACGATTTTTTTTTATTTGTGCAAAACTTTCCTATTAGTAATTTTGCTCCAACTTATAATGATAAATAATAATAATATAAATGATAGCAATATTTCTAAAAGAAAATTTCACTAGGGAATCACTTTAAAAAAAGGTAATTTTTTAATTTTCTCTGGAGATTTCCCAGTAAATGTGAAGACCGGGATAAAACACGGGACAACCGGGAAAATCGGTACTACATTAAACAAATTTTATTAAAGAAAATATATAAAGTCTTTTTAATTGTTTTACTATAAAATTACATATATATTGTTGACAATGCATTACTATCAATTGAATTCCCCACAGAATCGTTTCTCGTATGAAATTGTTAATCGTTTCTTAAAGGTATAAATTAAATAATCTATAACAGTGGCTACACCCATCCTCATTATTTTAGGACGTCTTTTTTATCATGGTTTCCGCTTTTAATCGTTATTGATAATGAAATTATTACTAGTATTTTTTTCAAAACGTTATAATATTTACAAAGACGATAAGGTTGTATAAAATAAATGCGCTCAGTAGTATACAAACTAACAGACGAATGAACAGATTATGACGATTCACTAACAAAATTAAGATTTAATGAAGATTTATGTATTTTTTAAACGAGCACATATGTGCAATGTGCATATAATGAAATGCTTGACATTTGCGTTATTATTATACCTAAGGCGATGAAAGAAAGTTAACTAAAGTAGGTAATAAACGTTTAAGTGTAAAAAGTTGATTAAGTAAAATTATGCTACATTTTATATAACATTTAATTTGCAACGTTTGTCTACGTGCAAGTTGGCACAGTATGTGTTTGACTTGTTTAAGTCAATTGTTTGTTTTTCTTGTAGTGAATACACTCTTGATAGCGGAATATTATATTTATTGCAACATGTCAGGCGGAAGCTAAGTTTAATATATGTATAGTGCTTGGTATTTAAATTTTAAATAAAATCATACGAGTATGAAGAAAGGAAAACACCGGTTTATTGACTAGATGAGTAGTATAACCATTAAATAAAACAGGTGAAGGGTGTATCTAAATTGGCCAGCCTCATACTTAACGAGACCACAATTTTTTCCCCATAGAGCGGGACGCCTGTACATCTCGATAAGAAAAGCGAACAATTCGTATTATTTTATGCATAGAACAAACAGTAAAACATTTTAAAATACAGTGAAATGTAATAAAACAAATTAGTCAAAAATAAATGAAATAATGGATTTAAAACGTTTCTAATAAACATAATACATTGTAATTTGTTTATTTGTTGAAAATTAGAAAGTGAAATAGAGCTAATTGCTTGCACAATCTGGTGGACGGCTAGTTTAATATATTTATGGGGGGAGCAGACCCGTGGTTAGTGGATATTATGTTCGGCTGTCAAATCATAAAATACAGTAACCAACATTCTTATAACTATTCATGTTTTGATATTAATTCTTATTCAAATTAAATAACGCAGACTTTTTGATATTCCACACTTTTGGTTGAAATATTTATTTTAATTTTGGAATTAATCTTTGAAATTGCAATAGCCATAACCAATTGGCGATTGTATACAATTTATAAAATATTAGTTACTATGATTTATGTTTCGATATCCATATTTTTTTGTTCTGTGATTAACAAACACGTGCCTTTTTTCGATCAGAAAAGCGGGGTAAACGGAATTATTGTTCTGATAGGGTTCGCAGGAAATCTAAGGTTAACTTGTTGAAGGAGACAAGAAGAATCAATTTTACCAATGATAAGATTTTGAAGGAAGTCACGAGCAAGTCGGCGATCAATCAGAAGTAGGAAATTCAAGTGTGAGTTGATTTGGTTCAGATTGAGCCTCTAAAAATGTCCAAAAGTAGCCAAACAAAGATGTATAAAGATGTAAGATCTTATATACAAAATCCGTTTGGCTAGAACGACTAACGAACTTCCATTAACATTTAGATTGTAAATTGAGGAGTATAGATTGAAATTAGAGTTTATAAACAAATAACACAATTTAAAGAGAAGACTATCTTCGTGGGCTAAATGTAGTTATATACAAAATTATCACACAAAAAAAGTTCTTTGAAAGTAACTAGCAAGGTTTTATATTTTTTAAATAGCTTTAATTCTTGATAAAACTCCAATTTCAACATAAACGCTACAAGTATTTATGTTCTAAATAACGTAATTTAGTAATAATAATGTAGAATAAGACAGAAACAACATATGTGAGTTTTAAATCTTCTTAACCAGATAAATGTACCAAGTCCCTCAAATTTATATTTATCATTAATTATTCATTGTAATAATTACGACTGCAGTGCAACTTTGTGTTAAAGTGTACCCGATTTGCTAAACTGTGAATGTACATAAACAAGTGTGTATTGGTCGTTGCAATGAACTTTTATCAGACGAGTGCGATTGACGTACAACAAATTATTTTCAATTGATTTATAATTATTTAATATCATTTATATTTCAGGAATTGCGCCATTTTGTGTACGTAATATTGATTGTTTCAATGTTAATAATGAAATTTAGCACTGATCAATTTAAATATTTCAATTGTTGTTAAAACCCATCAGGCACGACGCGCATATAGTGAAATAGTTTCTGGCGAAATTCGATAAACCGGCAGATTTTGACCGTTATGCTTTAATACTGAAACATAATATAAAACATGAAAATAAATTTTTACCGTGAATAACGTGAAATCGATAAAACCTATATAGGTACGCTCGCTATGATTGTGAAATAATAACGTGTAGGATTGCTCGAAACGGAAAGGTGGTACGCGAATTATTAATGTACTCGCGATGGTCAATTATTATTGCGAAAAAGGGATAATAATGATAATAAAAAGGACATTTCAAAGGAAAACGAGAAAAAAAAAATGAAAACCAAAAATATCGTATTAATGACCTGGCGATAAATCGCAAACATGTATTATTTTTACGAGAGTAGGTATATTATAGCTAATCGTTCGAATCGATTGGACATTATTGAAAAAAAAAAAAAAAAACAAACCGATATAATATTATTTTCTTCGAATATTTCAGTTATGGCCGGCAGTTTTTTTTCCTTCTCCGTGTCTATATAACAACAAAATACAAATTCCTTTTGTGGACAGGTAATATACATAAAAAATGAGTGTGCTGACGAAATACTCTCTCTGTTTTGTATTCTATTTCCCCTTTCTCGGCGTGCCATTCACCATTTAAATACTATTGTTTGCTTGATGTTTGAACAAAAAATGAAATTAATACCGATTAAATACGAGTGCTAAAACCGAGAGTGATGCACGTAATTAAAATGTTTA